CAGTTGCATAAATTCAAATATCCCGCCCAATCCTGCTTGCTATTCATTGACATTTTACTATGATCGCATCACCCCATTTCTATCTCATCCATTAAGACATTGCGTTGTACATACTGTGAACATGTTCTTTGTTCCTCACATGAACAGTACTGTAATTTGTTTGAATTCACATTTTGGGGCACTTTTCGAACTGGTTTGCTCACGCTTGATACGCGTCTCTTTGTCTGTCGTTGGCCTAACTGTCGATCGATAACTGTCAAGGTTTTTTGTACATTAACTGATTTATTGATGTTTTGTCATATAGTACAGCACATTTTCGTTTTGAATTCGGGTCCACTCTTCGGTGCTCGTTGCTCGACTTATCGGTTTTGTCGCTTACAACTGGTCATTCACGTTATAGCTGTTAGATACTGCTAGGAAAGCATAGAAGCACAGGAGGAAGAGAAGGATTGCACCTATCATCCCCCCAAACTGATATGTTTTCTGGATTGGTGACGAAATGTTTGCAATCCAGCTATCAAACTCGCTGAATAGACCAAAAACTATTACACGCATCTGCATACCAAACTGGTCTTCACGGGAGACTCACATGAATCTCTAGTTTTTGGTGTTCGAAGAGTTCTCAGCAGACTTGAAAATAGTGTGTTACGTTAAGACCAACATCCAGTTTGTCACCGTGCCTAGTTATCTCGAAACGGACAGTAGACTTAATTGGACATCGATATGGATGGGTAAAAAACGTGAAATGGCTTGGTGCGTTTGTACAAATAAGATACTTTGAGTTAGGATTCATTCTGTACACACGACCGAGAGACACCGAGGATCTTTTAGGGACCCGGTTGCAATTAAACTCGCTGAGGATCTTTTAGAGACTTAGATGGAATTAGGTTTATCGAAAATCGTTTAAGGGTCTCCGTCGACCGGTTTTTGAGCCACGTCACTGCACAATGTTCTTGTTACTCAGAGCTATTAAAGTAGTCAATAATCGGTGCATCAGAAGTTGTGGGCAGCCCCTTGGATCACTTGGCACCTGCCGTCTCTGATTTTGTTTTTATTGTCTCGACTGTGGTTGAGGAGGAGTGCATGGGCAGGGCTTGTTTTTGATGCTATAGGTGTTTCTCAACTTATTTATGGTCCATCAGTGATATTTCGAATGGGTAAAATATCACCATGTTATGAGAGCGACCAGTTGCAACCCATGCCAATGTGATAGTTATATTCCCCCACGCTTGTCACCTGGTTGCGTATGCATGACGGCTACACAAGCCCATTAATCCTGAAAGCCGAGACATAAGAAATTTGCAACTATTCCCGGACTATCTTACACACAGCTTACACGGAGTGCACATAGCTATCAAACGTTTTTGGAGGAGGGTTTCCTGGTTGATGGCCAACCGTAGGGACAGAAGAGGTTACACGAGGTGGGTGTGGGATGAGATGAGATAAAGGATGATAGTCTTTTGGAGTAACGGAATGATATATTGTTAGCATTGTTCTTGTGCTTTCGAGTGGTCGTTTGTACTGTTTGCTGTGCGTCCGTTGGACATACTACATGCGTATGCCGCGTGAGTAAGCTTGGCATATTTATTCCATCAACACTTGACACATTTGGACGTGCGAGTTTCGCTGCTGTCCGTGATGTCGCTGTAATTATATCTGATGTTCACGTGATTTCTGCCCCAAGACTTCACCTGTCAGATGCCCGATCACTTCCATTGTCTTGGTATTTTACACAAGCCAATCCTGAAAGCCGAGACATAAGAAATTTGCAACTATTCCCGGACTATCTTACACACAGCTTACACGGAGTGCACATAGCTATCAAACGTTTTTGGAGGAGGGTTTCCTGGTTGATGGCCAACCGTAGGGACAGAAGAGGTTACACGAGGTGGGTGTGGGATGAGATGAGATAAAGGATGATAGCCTTTTGGAGTAACGGAATGATATATTGTTAGCATTGTTCTTGTGCTTTCGAGTGGTCGTTTGTACTGTTTGCTGTGCGTCCGTTGGACATACTACATGCGTATGCCGCGTGAGTAAGCTTGGCATATTTATTCCATCAACACTTGACACATTTGGACGTGCGAGTTTCGCTGCTGTTCGTGATGTCGCTGTAATTATATCTGATGTTCACGTGATTTCTGCCCCAAGACTTCACCTGTCAGATGCCTGATCACTTCCATTGTCTTGGTATTTTAGAAAGCGGCTATTAACATAGCTGATTCCATGACACGTAGGTGAGTTGCATGAACAGACTGAGACAGAACTGATCGAGTTTAATTGTCGCTCGCCAGTGTAGCAAACTATGGATGCTAAGCAATTTAAAGCCGCTTATACAGTCTGGAGTACTGCTGAAGATGACAGCCACCGGTCTGTAACTGACCTGAACTATACAAGAAACAATGCGAGATTTCATGAATAGGTCGTTTACTTACTGTTTGACGCAAGAATCAATCAAACCGTTCGTCTGACCTCTCTCGGATAGATAACACGGTGGACGCATTAATCACCAAGTGTTTCACAAAATTGGTGGGAAGGACCGTTCCTCCTTTCCCAGCCACTTGTCTCATTGTTAGCAGATTAGATTTTGCAAATGAGTTTGCAGGTGCGCGTGAGTTTTGCACACCTAGGGCTGTGGCTGTTTAGAGGCACGCTATTTACTGGTAACGCAAAAAAACTACATCGTGGAATCAACCATATTTATTTGCATTTTGATATTTCTGCACGACGTCAGACCACTTCTGGTGAAAAAACATCCACTTTCGTCAATTCGATTTGGATGAATTCAGTCATTGCGAGCTAACCATGATCCACTTTGTTTTCTCCAAACGATCTCACTAAGATCAACGGAGTGTACACATTTGACGGAGCATGTGACGTATGATTAGTTTTCAAAATCTCTCACCGAGCCTTTATCATAATTGTTTACGCTTGTGTTGCTCAGATAAAGGCGGCTAAAATGTCATCCTCCTGATGCTTTTGGGTAAGAATGTTGATATCCTTTTTGCAAAGAATGCGGTTTTTCGAGCCCTTAGTTCGTTTCATAACCCCACGGTTTGCGCAAACCTCACAACTAAGTTAATCTGTTAATGCTCTATTAGAACCCAAAAATCAGTTATATGAACGAGAGAATGGGAGAGCACTAACAATATCAGCTTGTTGAGTATAATTATTACAACAGGAATATAGGCGAACAAGGGAGTTATCGTGTTGCAGGTACAGTCGTGTCTTCTTCGCTGTCGTAACAGCCACACGTAGTCCTGGATATCCGTGAGTGAAGCGCCGTAAAGTCCTGAGTGGCTCTGCTCCGAGCTGGGCGACGTGCGAAGCTCTATTGAGTGGTGTTGTGTTGCTGTGCTGTTATCCTATATGTAGGAACGTTTGCGTGTGTGTGGGTGTCAGCACATGACTTGTTGCTACCTTATCGGACGGTAGACAGTCGATGTCAGGTGAGTTACCTTTGTGTGTCGTGATTTGTACGTGTAGGGGAAGAAGGACGAGTCTTGGGATCAAGGGCTTGACTGTGAGCTGTGTAGTCAAGTGAGGCACGATTCTGTGGCGTGATTTGTGAGTGTAAGGGAAAAGGACACATCTCGTGATCTAGCGAGTGTCGGTGACCTGTACAGTCATGTATGTGGTGAAAGGGCGGCTACAAATCCAATTACACTGGAGTTAGATGTAGTCGTATTCTGTTATTTTCTATCGAAGGACAGAAACTTATCGTAGACAACCTTCGAACAGTGGACACCCCCAATAACAAGCATTTTCCTTGTTTTATCACAAAAACACGTCCACCGATGTGTGGGTCTGAGGTGAGCCTACAGAAAGTAAGAAGCTCTCACAGTGAGGAATCGCTATCCGGGAAGGCAGATTCAAAGGTGTCATGCTCACACCTATACAATTAACGGATAGAGTGGTTCTCCACCTGACAAGACTAACCTCCCAAGAAGGTGCATCTCCGCTAGTGCTTCCAAATTTGAGGACCAAAATGCTAGTATTGTGGCGGAAACTTACACCACTCTTGTTCTTCCTGAAAGGGGTGATTGGAATAGAAGAGACGAATTTAATTTTCTGAACATACTACTCAAAAGGTTGCTGACAAGCCAATATTGGTTTTACCCTTCTTGGAGCTCTTCAGTAGGCGTCCCGAGTTTCCGTCAGCATTTTATTCAACGGGAACACCAGGCTGTTAGCAATTCACAAAATACACCCATTTGTAAGTCGCTGTTCGTCCCTCCTCCCTAATAAGGGAGGAACCGATCGTGGGCTGTCGACGATTTCCCAGAAACTACAAGTCGATAAAATACATCGTCATATCACAAATATCTTGTGAAACGAAATACTGAATGGCCTTTGTATAGCAAACTCAACTGAAGAATATCACAAGCGAGAGATTAGGTCGAGTCTCTTTTTAACGCTGGAGTGATTTGCCATGCATGCCAGTGAGTACATGTCACTAGTTGGGTTCCTGGATGTGTGCGCTGGGTTGGAATGCCTTCTACTCTCGATGGTATAATAGTATCAGGATAGATATGATCTTTACGGTGTGCCCAGAAGTAGGGGTTTCCTGTTAACAGAAAAGGCTGCAACTTGGCCTAAGTACATTCTGTAGTCTGAAAAGGTGAGAATCGGCCGTCTCGATATCCCTTAGCCTGTTAGGTCTGGACTATGACCCAAAGCTATCCCAGAAAGGCTGTTTCCCTGAAAATTCTAAGTACATTCTGTAGTCTGAAACGGTGAGAATCGGCCGTCTCGATATTTATTAGCCTGTGGATTATCACCCAAAACTATCCCAGAAAGGCTGTTTCCCTGAAAATGTCTGCCTGAATGCACAAATGATGGTAATATTACCAAGTCATTTGTTCAAGAACTGTTCATGAGAAATCAGTTTTTTCATAAAGTGCAGTTTTTCTGTGTCCGAATTGTTAGGTTCAACACAAAAGTAGTGATCGGCTCGCCTCGATGCACCTGATTGGTTAGCCGTCTAACCGATTGACCAGCCACGTGACTTTGTTCGAACCACAAGGTCGGTCGATAAGACATCGTGTAAATCATTCAACCCGTTGCAGACTACAGATGGGAATGAGCTGATGGACAATCCACAGGAAGATTTAGTGAAACTGGATTCCGAAAGGTCAGGTAAATAAACCTATCTTCTGGATTATCGTTCAGTCCGATGTCTAGCGCAACGTTTTCGAGCTAACATTCCCCCCATTCTTTCCAGATGAACCGTGCGAACACAGTCAGGTTTCCAACATCTCACATTTTGAACAAAAGGCTCGCAAAACGTTGTATGATGTGTCTGCAGCCGAAGATGAACACCGTGATCTGCTATATTCCATTTTCAATCTGGGCATTCTGACCGAACCAGACACAAAGAAAATTCGCATTTGTCACGAACGACTGGTAAACCGGATTCGTCGGGCAATCTTGAACCCTCTGCTGGAGGAGAAAAAGGAACTCATGAAAGCCAAACTTCGAGCATATTGTGAAGAGTTTATCCAAATCGTTGACGAACGTGTACTCCCATTCTACTGGGTCTCAGTGTTTGTGAAGGGAAATCTACTGCGCATGAAAGCGGACTTTTTGCGATACCTGTTTGAAATACACCCCGAGAACGGAATTTATCAAGTGCGTGCTCACAATGCTTACACAGAGGCTAAAGCCTTCTTTGCGGAACATCGAATGAACAAATCGCTGGAATGGTGTCGACTGAAGTTAAACTATGCTACTCTACTCTATTTGGATGGATTCCCCACTGCAGCCATGTTCAGTTGTCAGCAGTTGTTGAAATCGGCAAAGTCGAAAGTGTACGATGCGCGATTCGAACGAAGAGTTCGGAAGAATGTTGATTTCTTCAAAAGGAATGCTTTGAGTTGAGGGTTTCTGGTCGTTCTGTACTACAAAATATGGATGAACTTTTATGGTGCACTGCTTCCGGTCAAATGAAATTTTGGTTTGCATGGAAGTTTGTTGGTTTTAGTCAATAAATGAAGGAGTTGAGCAGAACACCTAGAAACGTAAAACATCTGGGAAATCACACGGAATCAGGGCATAAAGCACAGCAACCCTCCAGAGAGACATCGTTGAAGAACAGCCGCCTTTTGGAGAATAGGGGACAGCAGTTTCTGTCAACTAAGAATATTAAATCCTTCCGAAAGGGGTCACTCCCGGGACAGACTACAAGTCCTTGTACCTGTGGTAATTTCTCTTCAGTGGATCATCGCATCAGATTTTGCTGCTCACGTATGCTTCACGTAAGATGGTCTAGGTTGAGATTCATCCATCCTCAATTCTCCGTGAAAAGTGTCTATCTCTGGTTGCTGTGAGAGTCGAACCCCAGACATCTGACATATGTGACTGGCGAGTTACCAGGCCCACGTTTGATTCATTTGCATTGTCACATCTAAATAGATGATAGTGTTCACGCATGAACAATGGGATTGGCTTGTACAACGCCTCGAATCACGAGAGTGATACAAATGCGTCAACAAATCACACAACCAACCCATCCATAGAGTTGTCCGGCCAATTCCGCCACGTATTGAAGCTACTTGACTGGTGAGCCAGTCGACTAGCCCAACCAGGACAGTCACTGGTTCCTTTTTCGAGGCACTGGGCAAGGCGGTCGCACGGCGTGAACACAGATCATCCGTTAGAGTTGGCGTACCTCCAAACCACACAAAATCCTGATGGCAACTTTCCTGCTTTCTGATAGTTGCTTATGTCCTTCCAAAGAGAAGTGCGCAAATTAGTCAACAACCTTTGAAAGTAGACTTCGAATTCGTGAATTCAAAATCCTGTGGCAACTTTCCTGCTTTCTGATAGTTGCTTATGTTCTTCCAAAGGGGAGTGCGCAAATTAGTCAACAATCTTTGAAAGTAGACTTCGAATTCGTGAATTTGCAATCGCAGGTTCCCTGTTCATCCGCCTGGGCAGTAAACCTTTTCACATTAGTACATCTTATCAAGGGCGAACGATTACCGTCTTCTGTTTCGTAAACAACACATGAAACACAACAGTGACTAATGGAAGATTCCTGGTAGAAACCAGCTGACTGTGAAAGCTTTAATCCGATATGCTTAAAACCACCAAAGAATGGGCTCAAGTAAGGAATTTGCCAGTTTTATTTTAGGCGCGAGTGTGATTCAAACGATCAAAGAGACCAATCAGATTGCTAGTGGCGGCATGAACACCGCGCCCAGTCTGATGTTTCATGCGACACACAGTAACAGTGCACTACTGAGCAATCCGCTTTATTTGGAATGAAGATGATGAAGATGCCTGAGAACTTCACAAACGAGAGATTCAGCTGGGTTCCAGGTGAGTCTCTCGAAAGAACCAAATTAGTTTGCAAATGAGTGTATATTCGCTAATTTCGTGCAATTTGGTTTCAAGTAGAACATAAGGTTGACGGAAACCCGGGGACTGCGCCTACCTGATGAGCCCCAAGAAGGGCGAAACCGGTAGTGGGCTGTCGATGGATTTTCAGCAACCTTATGAGTAGTA